GTCCAGTTCCCCCTCAATTTTCTACCCCCATTGTGGTGGGAACAGTTACTTTCAAAAATTAAGCAAGAGTTCAAGGTCGGCTGTTGCCCCCCCCCCCTTTCGGTAAAATTTTTCATTGATGCTTTACAAAATTGCTGGACCATAACTCTTCGAAGGCGAAACAAGTAGTGGCATGAAATGCTGTACGTAAATAGGTGATACTATTTAGCAATTTAGCAAAAGCTGCCTCACAGCATAGTGCATGTCGTGGGAATGAAATATCTGGGCGATAGCGTGCGATATTTGAAACAACAGATATGCATTGAAAATTTATTGCAATCAAAATCAACAAACTTTTGGCAACTTTAGAAATAATGACACAACAATAAGACCGGCAACAACTACAGTGAAATCAATGCTTTTAGAAAGCGAACGAATTAAACGATATGAATTGGAGGGAACGCATTTCACCGGCATAGCTCAACAACAGTGGAATCACAAGGCATAACACACCTAAATTTTGAAGGAAAATGTCACATTTAAATGTATAACATACAGCGCATACACACTACGCATTGAAAGATCGAGCCCGGCATGTGGAGGTAAATGGCAACTTCAGTAACATGAGATCCCCCACACCAATTATTTGAACGATCATGTATCCTTGGTAAGAGACAATGCAGTACTAATAATTGGCCAACGCACGGGCTGCCCACGCGAAGATGCGTTTTTTGCATAGTTCCCCGCAGTTTTTGTCGCTACTGGCACCGGTTTTTTCGGCAAATGCTTCTAGCTAAACAAATTAAGATTGGCCGCAGAACTGTTAGGAAACATCCCTTTAAAATTTCAGCTTCCTAGCTTTCCTGGCTCTTGAGTTATCAACTTGGCTGAAAAAACATTGGCGAGCCCACACGTGGGTACCACGCTTAACCGGGGGGTGGGTTTGAGTGCATTAAAACCTACTTGGGCGGGGAACACCCCCCTAAGATTTCAGCTTTCTAGCTTCTCAGACTTACGAGTTATGAACTTGCTCGTAAAAAACTTTGGCGGGCTCTTACGTGGGTACCACGCAGGTGACGGCGCCCATTTTGGGGATTGAGGCCTGTACGTGCATGTAGATTAAGTTCCCAAAGTTTCAGCTTTGCAACTTTTATAGGTCTTAAGATGAAAAATCGGGACAGGCGCACACACGGACACACAGACAACCCCTCGTCTGTATGCGTTTTTGCACTGCATAGCTGCAAGAAACACATAATGAAAATTTAACAAAATGGCTTCATATTTTACGAGTGAACGAGAAGGGCAAAATTTTTACACTAAAAAAGACGACATACAGCATCATTAATATAATATACAAGCAAACAAATGAGGCGAATTGGAAAATGAAAAATATAAAACCCAATCGCAGATGCTATTCAGATAGGGACAGTATCAATTTGAGAGATCAAAGAAGTGTCGGCAATAACCTTCTTCGCCAACACTGTGTCAACAAGCAACTGATAAGAGGAGGGCTTCGATTCCAGAAGTGACTGCGATTCGAGCAACAGCAACGCCGAATGGACCTCATGCAAATCAAGCGCCGGCACCGACAACTTCTCGCACACTTTTTCATACGCCGACAGCAAACTACCTGCAAATATGCTGCTATACAAATACCACATTTTTGCTATAAAAATCCCAATAAAATATAAACACCACAAAATACAAAATACCACAAAAATACCACCCTCTTGCGGGTAAGGCAGCTTCACAGAATATTCAAAGCGCTTTCCCATATGCACATGACAAACAAGACACACATACTGAAAAGCCATTGAAATGAATGAAAAGCATTAAAAAATGCATACCTTTATCAATATTAGCACACGAATGATCACCTGCAAGACGGAGCATCGTTGCCAGTAAGATCTTCTGCTGAAATGGTATACGAGCTTGGAGAATTGGCGAGCTATAGACACTGCTTAGCGTACTCAGTACGTTTCGGCAACCGCTACTTTCATTAAGCGAACTTGCTAGTGAAGACCTGCAAACTGCTCCATGTATTGTAAAACTTTTTGGGAGATGTATAAACGAAGATTAAAAAAGTAAATGAGCACCGCGAAAAGAAATCTGAAGAAGAGAAAATAAAGAAAATATAGGAAGATGAGGTTCGCAAGGGGCCACATTCCTCCTCCACACTTACAAAAAGCTGTCCATACAAGCAGAACAAAATGCGTGGAATTTAAAGGATTTTAACATATGAAATGCCCAAACGGCCTTTTCTAATCGCAGAAACTCGGTGAAGAGCCATAAAGTTTATGGGAAGTGGTGTTTGCCAAAATAACAATAATGGACATCAGCTAAAAAAAAAAAATAACTATTTTGGGGAACAGAATTTGCTCGAGCAGAAAAATCAGCGATGAAATAATGCAAGCAATTTCGTGACCATTGATTTCTCCTCAAACTAAACTCTGAATCAAAATCAGAGTTTTATTAATACTAAAACATGTTTCACCCACATTCAAAAATCGATCATTTTTTATGCGTTTTTTGCAGCTATGCAATGCAAAAAACGCATATTGACGAGAGGTTGTCTGT